TGAAGACGACCAAGCAAGACCATCTTCAGTGGCTCTACAGCTTGTAAGTATATAATGATGACCTCAGATCTTATCTTATTCTGCTTTACATTCACCTTTCAGTGTTTTGACGGTATCATATCAGATCTCGTACAATGGTGGAATCATGTTAGGTGTTACGTCAATTGGAGCATATCGAGATTCCCAAAATGCTAATTCGTAGCAAAGAGCTGATATAATCACTGCCTTGACTTCAATACCTATTTGGATTTATAAAGGTTATAAAGGTTATGAGAAAACTGTGAGCCGGTAATTTAAGTTCTTGGGATAAAGTGCAATGCTTGTTTACAACGGCGTTTTTTGTTTCCTCATTAACATAAATGGTACTTTCGGCAGACATGTTGTGTTTATCAGCAATTGCATACATTTAAGCAATAGAAAACGTTTTTCGAGATGCAGTTTAGAAGGACGAAAAACGCTGTGAAACACAAGCCGCTGGTCAGTGCTTTCACAGTTTTTTTCAGTCCAGTTCTTCCACAGGTGGCCCAAGCTCGCAAATGAGCGTACCTGTAATTACAGTAGTACTCAGGATATGCAACAGTTGAACTGTAAGGATTTGCACGGGAAAAACGGCTCAAAAATACAAAGGAGTATGAATAAAGATAAGCCTACCTCGCTTCTTTTTGTTTCTTTGTTTCCCGTGAGGTTTCTAGGCCGATTTACGACAATTTAGGTGGAAAAGCAGTGAAGCTAAAAATGACCTAAATTGTCATAAATCGGCCTAGAAACTTCACGGGAAACAAAGATACACACACCTGAAGCGAGGTAGGTTTATCTTCATTCATACTTCTTCGTATCTTTTAGGCTTAAGAATATAACCGTTTATCCCATGCAGTCCTTACATTGCGATTGTTACGTAACCGGGTACTACTGTATGTACAGGGACGCTCATTTGCGATCTTAGGCCATGCTGTCATTACGTCACCTTCTCGCTTGGTAAGCGCGCGCTAAAAGCTCTTCAAACAAGCGTGTTTTCCACGAAAGACGCATGATTTGATTTGCTAGATTCTTAGACTAAGATATTCACGAATTCAAGGTTAATTTCTTTCCCGAAAATAAGGGGTTGGTCTTTATCAAACTAAAAGCGAAAGCTAAAATATTCTAGAGTATTCTAACGTGGATTGTGACGCCATAGAATCCTAGAGTATTCAAGGCGAACACACGATGTACAACTAGAGAATTCAAGAGTGTTCAAGCATGTACACGTGACGTATTCAATTGAACTCGGAAAAGCGGGCTGGATTTTATTGGGTGATCCAGCCTTCCAAAATGTATTTCGAGTCAGGTGTTCTTAAATACCTCAGAATATGTCTGTGTATGCAGCTTGCGCCGACCCGAATTCGGGGAAATTTATAGGACCTAATATAATTGTCAAATGCCTAATATTTAAGAAATAGAAAACATGTTCCGTGTTTCTATCGACTTTAGTATAAATCCACTAGCGTTCTTTCATGAATGCCGTTCTCTGATTGGCTACCCTACTCACTATCTATTCTGTTGTAGTCAGTGAGTAGCGTGGCAGCGTGCTCTGAGGGCCGCTTCTTTGTGTTTTCGAAGTGTCTCTAAAGAGAATTTAGATTAAAGTTTTGAACGATCACTGGATTTGTACTAAAACAATTAGATTATTCGCTCTCGATCTCTCTGCGTGATAGTTGACTCAGGCTGCGCCCCACGATAGAAATCTCGAGCTCATCATCTAATTGTTAAATAGAAAGTTGGGAGAACGAGAAATGCTGTGGGAACACGAGCCGTCGACAGATGAGTGTTTCCATAGCTTTTTCGAGTGCTCCCAAACTTTCACGAGTGCTTCTATTAAACAATTAGATTATTCGCTGTCGATTTCTATGCCTGATAGTTGACTCGGGCTGCGTCCTCGTCAACTATCACTTTTCAAAGACACTTCAAAAACGAAAAGAAGAGGCCCCTAGTGTACACTACTACGCTATTGTAAGTTATTGTAATTTTCTTTACAAATGTGTATTAAGTGTCTAGAGTAAATAAAGCATTGTTGCTGTTATTGTTGTTTTTGCTACTCACTATCTAATAAGCAATTAGATAATGAGCTCGAGATTTCTATCGCGTGATAGTTGACGAGGGCGCAGCCCGAGTCAACTATTACGCATAGAAATCGAGAGCGAATAATCTAATTGTTTAGTATAAATCTACTAGTCGTTCAAAACGTTATATAAATCCTCTTCACAGACACTTCAAAAACGCCAAGAAGCTGTCGTCATTTTGTTAACACGGGCACAATGCTACGCTACTCACTATCTATCACAGAATAGATGGGGAGTAGCGTAGCCAATCAGAGAACGACATTCGTGATGGAACGCGAGTGGATTTATACTAAAACAGAATAGATAGTGAGTAGCGAAGCCAATCAGAGAGCGGCATTCGAGATAGAACGCCAGTAGATTTATACTAAAACCCGATTGAAACACGGAGAACAAGGGTATCACTTAAGCTAGGAATAATATTTTTATTGCGCTCAGTGGTTTTTGAGCAGCGTCTCGACAATTTTGGCAAGTTTCCATCCTGGCCATGATGAAAATGAGCCTTTTTGCAGCTTTGATTGATTGATTATTTTGACATATGATCAGATAGTTTACTGAGTAAAGGTTGAGGGACCCGAAATGCAGTGCACCGCTTTTACAGATACCCGCACTTAAATTACCTTTATGCAGTGGCTGAGTTGCAAGATTTACCACAAGGCACTGCAAGTGTTTTGCGTTTGAATTATGTCCTTTTGCCCCTTATTGCTTGAACTGAATTTTGCATGCTTTTTTCAGGGAAGAAAAGGACTAAGAAACATGAAGCAGAATGAACAAAATTGTCGGACCTCAGTAATTCCACATCCTAATGACTCAGCCAACTGGATTTCCTGTCTAACGTTACATTGGATGAACACTGTTCTAAGACAAGGCAGCCAAAGGCCCCTGGAAAAGGAAGATATTTTTACTGTTCGCAAGCAAGACAGCATGGAGCATCTTGTGAATAAGTTGGAAAAGTTATGGCAACAAGAAATTACCAGAAGTCGATTAGCAGGTTCTCAACCTCGCCTGTGGAGAGCATTTTGCCGGATGTTTTCATGGAAGCAGTACACATGCATGTTTATCTTGAAATCGCTTCGCGCTCTGTCTGTCGTCTTTCTGCCTCTACTACTCTGGTTCTTCCTCTCGGATCTCGAAAATGAATCGCAACGGAAGTATTCTGTTTCTTCCTTCGTGTTGGTTGCTGGAATGATATTGGCGGCATTCATCAAAGGACTGTCTAAAAATCATTTCAGTGCATTGGCAGAAATCTGGGGTACACAACTGAAAGTGGCAAGCATTGGCCTCGTGTACAAAAAAGTAAGTGTTAATTGACGGTTATAGCACTGGATTACACTTATTACTGATTGACTCGGTGGGGAGGTCTGGGGGGCTTGGTGCTTGCTTTGTAGAGTAGTATCCATAACTTTATTGAGTGGTTTCTATATAAAGTTCCTTTGAATAGAAAGGTTTGTCTTGAAGTGTTGACAGAATCAATTTTAAAACCTTTTGCCTTAAATCCGTTATCTTGTATTTCCAACTTAGGTTGGAGACAGATTAACCTGAAAATCAATTTGACCTGTTATATTCCATCGCCATCGGTCTCAGCTCAATATGTTCCTTAAGGACGGTGCCTACTAAATACAAAGGTTTTTGCGCCAGGTTAGGACCACGCGGAGAAAGTAGATCTCTACAAGGGCTATTGGAGTCCACAAAGAAAACTTGGGGTAGCCACGCATTTCTTCGAGATTATTAGCCTTGAATCTCAACAAAAAATGCTGACATCAGCATTTTTCTGAAAAAAAAGAAGGAAAGGATATTTCTTCACAGTTTTCCTTAAAATTCGCCTCTAAATACAGAAAAGCAAACACATTTATAAAGATCTTAAAACTGCATGGTAAATGGTACTATAAAAACCATTTTTGGTATGTTTGTAATAACAAAATCGTTGCAACAGCGCTTTTAGCGCCTCTGACAGCCTTTCACTGGTTCAGCTAAAATACAGCCTAAATACCTTTTGCTCACCTCCAGAAACTAGTCACGTATTGAATAGGCTTGGCACTTCCATTTGATATCATAAAATGTAGG